GAGAGAGAGAGAGTAAAGAAAACTCAGGCATAAAAACAGCTGCTGCGCGAGGACACGCAGGCGATCAGGAGGCACCTTTTTCGCACATGCGATTTCTACTCGAGGAACAACATATGTATGGGCACATTCGCATGTCAAACTGTCAAATGGTCTATCTAGTAGTGATGCATTGTCTTAGAAACTCTGACAGATTGTACTCAGAATCCTTCACTTGGAACATGAATCCGGTAGTCGAACGTTACTATTACCGACCTTGAAGGGGTACAACCATGGGATGACATCTAGTTTATTTCTGGTACAACTGAGAACGGAGAGATACGCAACGGGGGCACTGCATACGTAAGGTGGGTGGGAACTAACATTGAATGGGCTTCCCACAAAGGAGCGCAACAGTATAAAACTGAAGTCGGTTTCTTCTCAAGGTTAGTCCAAACTCTGCACAAAACTACCGCCTCGAACGCTTTACACCAGCGAAGTAGCGGAAAGTAAAAAAATTGGTCTGTGGCTTCGACGGGTGGCTGTTTTGAATATAAGGATCACACAGCTTTACGCTAGGTAGCAACAGAGGTCTAGGCAAATCTAAAAACATATGTCAGTAAGAGCGTCTCGTTTTAACCCGAAGGTGCTGTGAACAAAGACAGAAAACAATTCCAGGACATCTCAGAGACTACGTGGTACAGAGAAGGAACGACCATCTCTCGGGGATCGTGATACCGTCGAGGACTTCCATCTACCATCAACCGCTTCGTCACACAGACGCAGACGACAGTCACTCTTGAGGCTACTTCAAAGGAAGAAGGCTGACACTTGTTGGGCTTTTGACAGGAGGCGCTATACCATAACCATAAAAGCTGGTAAAAATGATCTGGCTGGGTAGCAGTGCTATAACTGTGTGCATTCGGAGGGAGGGATGGAGGGTGCTAGTAGTTCAGACGTTTTCTTCATGCAACTTCGCTATCACCTTGGACAGGAGACTTAAAGTGTGCGCTTATACAACAGACGCCGCCTAGAAGTGCTTGGTCAATGGTAAGTGCATTGTCTTCATCAACTATTTCTCCAAAGAAAGAAAATACAGTCAGCCGCATTCTCTTTACTGGTCGGCTCGGACTGCCTGACCACGTGCTGTGCCTTGGCCAGGGAGACAACATCGCCCGAACTGAGTGCTTGCCGAGGAGGCATAGTGTGTGAGCGTGGCGGAAGCTGACTTCAAATACAGACTTTTACTCGTTGGTTCGCGTGACTTCCCAGGCTCTGCTCGGATGTCACCAGCTGACAACAATGGACGACGTAATACAATTATAGTTAACTTCCTATACGAATTAATGTGTTTAAAAGAAGCACACATGATGAGTCAAAGTACCTTGGCGCCAGGCCTGTGGTCTTGCTTCAAGAAATAGGAGGCGGGATCATCAAAGTTCGCAATATCATCGTCCTCATCTGAACTCCAGTCTGAACTCTCGTCATCGGAGGGAAAGTCGTCAGTAGACTCGTCGGAGTCCTTGGCAGGCTTTTTAGGTGCTGCGGTTGTGGCAGGTGCAGGCTGAAATAAACAAAAACACATAAACATTTGAGAAGTATTTGGTGGCAGGGGTGGGGAGAGGTCGAATAGAAAAGAAAGAATGAACAAGAAGAACGTCCGGTAGGAAGTTGGCGCAAAAACAGACAACGCATCAATTACCACACCGAAATGAATAGCCGCAAAAACTTCGCCGTCAAGTCAGGTAACAGGAGTTTGTTTGGCCAACTGACAGACCCTTGGATTATGACGATGATGATGAACATAGCAACGTGACAGTGACCGTCACTGATCCGATTCTGACCCAAGCCAGCAAGGGAAGATTTTAGTAAAGTCAACTGATCTACGAGACACCCACCAGAAGCTGGGAGTCTGATCATACTGGGATCAAGTAAACCACCCAGCCGACTGCAACATATGGAATCCGCCAATTCTGATACAGTAAGCTGACTGCTCAAGCAGGATTTCCTAATCAATCAATCTAGAATCTACCAGATGACTACCAGACACAATTGCCGACAAGTAGAGTACATCCCAGACGACGACGAGCTGGGAAGGCAGACTTTAACTCAGATCCAGGTGGTGACTGGCTTAAACGCCCTATCAGTTCAGCCGCCGGCCGACATTTTGAAGATGGTAAATAATCCTGCAGTGACTATTTCAAAACTTGAAAATATTTCCCGCTTATTTGTATGCCCCTTCACAATATTATTGAACTGAGTTGTCACGGTGTCAGTCATACGGCAAATGCTGGTCACAACAGACGGGCATATATGTGATAGTAAATTTTAAAAACACACATCAGAAGCATACATACCTTGGTTGAAGCCACCTCGTCGTCATCGTCATCGCTGGATTCTGGCTCAGCCTCGTCTATTAGGGAAAATGAGGTTGGAGTATTAGGAACTTGCCTGCTTCGTCTGCCAACTCCTCTTCGTCCTCCTCATACAACTCAGGATTCTCTCTGCAATGTTGGATACTTTCTTCAAAGTCCTTATTGTACTTCTTGACACGCTGTCTCATTATGGTGAGCGACTTCGCGGCGGCCTTGCTCAGAGACTTCTTCTGTTCCCAGGACTCGTTGATGAAATCCTCCAGTTGAGTTAGACAGCGAATGTAGAACTTGGCATTCTTTTCAACTTCATTCAGCTTTAAAGCCTTCTCATATAATTTAACCAATTCCTCGAAGTCTGGAGAATAGGGGGGAAATAGGAGACAACCTACCTGCCATAACATTGGACATATCCTTAATTTTTTTGTGATTATTCAGGCTTCGTAGGACATTGCGCATCTCTTCTTGCCGTTTGTCCTTGGCGCTGCGAACGACACGCTTCTCATCTTCGCTATCGCTTTGCGGTTGTATAAACCGGTGTTGTACTGGCTTCACTGGTACATCCTCATCGGATTCACTCTCACTCGAGCTGAAGGCTGCCGAAAACAGATGCAATGACATCTTGCGGAGTGGTCTGAAAGAGAAATAACGTACAAGAGCCAAATTTATTGACGGGGCAAAAGAAAAACGGGTAAACCGACGCAGGGTGTTGAAGCAAACGAAAGGCCAAAACGTGAATAGTGCTAAATACCTGCCTATCTCAGTTCTTTGCTTGTATATGTGGGAAATTTTTGTCAATAGAGTGGCGCTTCGCATCTATTCGGGTCACAGGAGAGAATACCGCAGTTCTTTATTTTTTTCCGGATGCTCTGGTCTAGAAACTTCGCTCTCGCATACGAGACCACCTAAGTGAGCTCTGGACCGAAAGCCCGGGGCAAAATAGAACATTCTTATTCTGTTCAGCGATTAGGATATATGAGGTTTCGACCATCGATTCTGACGAGGTAGCGCATGCACGGTGACCTGCAGGTGAAATATATTATAGTGGCAGTATTCTTACGCCGCATCTACCACACTCGTTCTTCTCACCCCACCTGAACCCGGTATCATGACCAGCCCAATTTGGTGCTGATCGATTGCAGGTACAACTGGCACTGCGTGAATCCGCAACTCTTTCACAACGGTCAGGTGGATCTGGATTCCATCTTCGGATTTCCCAATGCTTTCTCAGTAACATATCTCCCCACAACGCATCACTAAGAGTGACAAGATCACCGGGTAGAAAAGTGGGGTTCACTCCATGTATAGAAGCATCCGGAAAGAAGAATGTAAACCGAATATTCGTTTCATTCACTCGTTTGTACCAGAAGACAAGCAGTGACGATAAGCGATGTACTGTTCACCCAGATGCAATTAACATCAAAAGATACGTCGGTTTTAGAAAAGAAAGTTACAAGGTCGACGAGAGGCAAATGAAAATTTGTTTATCTAAGTACTTTCATTTGTCTGAATACAAAAAGGGTTCATCCAATGCACTATAAAGAAACTGCCCTCGTATGTTATAAATGGCTTCAGGGCACTTGAAACATGTCCTTGAAGATATATTCAGAGGTCAACGGACTGCTGTGAAATGTAACCAAAAACGAACAATTCGGCCCTTGTTAGTTGAGACCCCGTTGGCTTTTATACTGCTGTACTAAAAGCGTTACGTGTGAGGTAAGCCGGCAACTTAATCACATAAAAGGGCACAATGTAGGGGGCAGCGCTATAAAGGTAAGGAATAGTTCGGTTGGTGTGTAGCTAGAAGAGATCGGATGTTAACAGGACTGGGTGTCGCCTTAAGCTAACTGGGTAAATACGCACGAATTACCTGCGCAAGAGCTTCCGTCGTAATACATCTCCAGATGAAAGCTCTTGAACAAGCAAAAGAGTCACGGTTTAGAAGCACGAACCTCCTCGAACACCGTTTGCATGAGAGAGCACATAATTAAAACAGAAAGGGACAACAGAAAAGAGTAATAAAAGGCCGGTTGTCAGACCCTGGCCTACTTATAAGATTATTCGCAAAATACGCATTGATAATGTAGAACTACTTATTGTCAATTGTCAGTCTGACAGTGCAACAAGTCATAAGCATTTACGAATATAGTTGATTCTGAGTGCGCGCTTAGAACAGTGATCGGAAATAGGCTTTTAAGGCTTTGCTTGAGACTTTGTAAGATGTCGTCGGAAGCAGTGGAGATTACTGACGCAAGTTGTTAACGTTTTGCATATCCTAGTCGGCAGTTCATCGATAAGTAAAACTGATGGTCAAATGACACCCCCGAAATACTTAAGTATTCTTCGTCATCAATCCGCCCGGGCACCTTAAGAAGAATTGGGGAGGCCCAATTTAACGTGGCTGCTTCCCAGAAACTACTAAACGTCACTTGTCAAGGCACAGACAAAACAACGTCATTTTGAGGCTGACGAGACTGCCATCGATCTTGCTTACTCCACTTCGGTTAAATGTCAACATTTCAGAAATGTATAAAAATTGTAAGCCGATGTGAATTTGCATGACACTTCGTCAAAAGGCGTCAGTGAGCAAAATGCAATTTTAAAACTCAGTACTTGCTTTGTCTAAGATACGGAAACCACCATGTAAGTAAATGTGTCTGGGATATTGTTAGTCTTATTCTCAAATAGGTAGCCCAACAAAGGTAGAGCAGATTTCAACTAGAAATGTTGAACCTGAAAGCTTAAAAACGTGGCACTTCTAACGGCTGATCGGGGTCGCCAGAAATTAAGTCAGCGGCAAAGGCTTGCAGTGGGCCTAGTAGTCAGAGACAATTGAACGCTCCGCCGCCTTTCTAATAAGCTCTGTGGGAGTATGAAAGCCTAATTTATTACTGGAGTACCTGCAGGAATATAGTGGAAAATTAGAGGCAGTACGACTGGTTGGCAGACAAACTATAGCAACTAGCATCGATCAGATGGGAGCTCAAAAATGAGACCAAAAATGGAAAAGCGAAAGAGAGATGGAACAGATAAAAGGTGGAAAATGCGAAAACGTTTTAGCTTGTCCCCTGTTCCTGTGTAAAGGTACTGGCCCGAGGTTAATTTATCGAGGACTAACGTATGCTCACCAATGGCTCTTCTGATGAAGTGGAGGTGTCCATAACGAGCATAGGGCAACGAAAATTGTGCAATAAGCAGGCAACTTCCTTTTCAATATACACAAAGCTGGGGGATAGTATGCGCTACTGTAAAAATAGACATATAGTGAGTATTGCCCAACTTATTTTGGCCTATCACTCGAAATTGCGCCCTAACTCCCATGAGGAACCAAGACGCTTCACAATGGTCTGCCTGTGAGGGTTAGGAAGACTCCTTCGGATAGACGGTTCAATGAGTTTATTACATGCTGCAAAGTATCTGTGCTAAGTTTGGTACACACTAAAGACTTTAATATGCTTCAGGGTGTCCTGAAGACTACGTGTATAACTACGTCGAAAAACCTCAACATCTGAATATTACCGCATCTGCTGCGACACGGACAGCTGAAGTTTAGCTTAAATGCAAAATAAAAAGAACAAGCCTACGTTTCCGATTGTCAACCTTTGGCAAAATTTTCACGCCATGGACGAATAATGGAGAGCAAACCCATAACCAGTATTCTAATTATGGCTAAACAAACGTATAATATTGTGAAAGATGGGTTCACCTGAGAAAGTATTATAAACTCTATGCATAAGGTAAAGTTGATCTGTGATCCACCTAACACGCAGGAGGCGCTGCTTCAACGGTATTGGCCTGGCCGAAGTAAATTTGCCTAGGTACGCAGATACATCAGTTCAATTAAAGGCTTTGGTTGATGTTGTATATACATATTTACGAGTCTAACTATAAGGAACTAGTATCTCTGCGCAATCACTGTCAGATCCTACAAATCCAGTCATTCGGGAACTCGAACGTCTTGGGAAGAGGCATGGTCGGATGTCTGGTCAAACAATAATTCGATTAAAGTTATCTCTGGTGGGTAATTCACGAAAACTAGAATGAGGAACAGCGGCCTTTCTAAGACTAAAAATATAACCTGGATATCGTTATTCTCTAGCTTCGTTCCCAGATCCGCAATAGAGAGTTCCATCAAACAGAATTCACTAAAAAAATTTATGCTGACAGTGACTCATAGGTCCATGCCTTTGCGGGGCATAGGAATGATGACTTTTCAGTTCACTTTGAATGGCGCTCGCGAGACTAACTGGCCAGCAACTTGCATTTTAAGCGAGTCCGTAGATGCCCGCATAGTTAAATTCCCTTAAAAAACCATGGGCACTGTGAGCATAACAACTGTGTCGGTATCCTAGCTGCCTCGACGTGCGTACATTACCGCTGACGAGCAGGAGGACATATCGATTAGCCGCCACCACACGTTCGCGGCAAAGGCTCGGGAAGCCTGAAAATAACCGATTTTTTGTTGACGGAATTGTTGGTGCGGCGCAGCTTTCTTACGGGTGAAAGGAGGGACAAAGACCCAGGAGAAGACAAGACATGTCTGGGTTTACGAACTGTGGGAATCGCCTAAGGCGGGGGTGTTGTTGTCGCGATAGACTATGACAGGCTGTATCACAGCCAGTCACAATGAGCTCCCCCCGCTGACACCCGATTTCCGATCTCGATGAGCACCGTGCGCATCCGTTTTCCTACGCCGGTAAAATCAGGTCAAAAAAGTTGGCATATAGTTAGCTAAATGGTAAATCACTATAAATGGCTAATCATACGCTAGCTTTTCTCGACCTGATGTTATAAGGGTATCAGTGATGCCGCCTCAGAAGTCAAGACCTTTCTGGGGCATGGGGAGAATAAGCTAGGAGGACAAGAATGTAAAAGTGAGTGCAATTTTAACCATACTGTGTAAATATAAGGAAAACGTCATCCATAAATAACTGAAAACGGCTTAAAGGAAAGGC